TTTTTGGCTACGTACCTTGAAGCTAAATGGAAACAAGATGCGTTTTAACAAAAAAAAAAAAAAGGAGATGCGCAGGAAGAAATAAGGGAAAAACACAAATTTTTTTTTTTTAGTGTTGAACATCATGTTGAAAATTAAACTAACAAGGTGCCTGGTACGTGGGTTTCAATTCTTTTCTATGGGTTTCACCCTCTTTCATTCCAAAAAATTGTGCTTGGTTCAGTTTTACGGGCCTACTTCTTTCATTCTTTGGGCAAGGTTTCATTTCACATAAAAAATATGGGTTTCGCTTGGCTTTGGCATAATTAAACAACAAACCTTTATTTTTCTTTTCTTTCCTTCATCTGTCCCTCCTCTTCTCTCTGTCTATCGTATTATCTTCTCCAGACCTCACACCAGAAACATATTTTATTTTCCAATGCAACCCTTCTATTTTCTTCTATTCATTTTTTCTCTGTGGAACCATGTTTCATTTCCTCCATGGCCGCCATCAACATAACAAGTTCCAATTATCTTTCTTTCTTTTTTCAATTTTTTTTTCCGAGAGAGAATCACTTCTGGAATCAATTGAAATTAATTCAAATAGAATTGTAAGCTTCGGATCTTATTGTTAGACATATGCTCGCGCCATTCTATTACCGATCTGGTCGTTTGTATTGGAAAAATAGTCGGAGACTTGAAGTCATAAATACCTATGTTATTAGTTGAATTACTACATATTTATCCCAGATCTATTTTTCTACTGAAGAATTTCTGCCATGTCATGAGAATTTGTTGCGATTGTAGACTTCCGATTTGCTGCGATTGTAGACTTCTGAGTTTTGGAAATTTGGTCAAATTGGTGTAAACAGAAGTGGTGGCTCCTCCTAAGGGGAGGATTTGTGAGGTGGTGGTCGGGGTGTCCGTGAATAACTGGGAGATGGAGATCACTTTTGTTTGTGAGAGGGATAAAGATGTAATTTCAAGTCATTTCTAGATTCACAATAGATCCGAACCAAGTAGCTAAAAAGAAGATTTCATACCCATCTATTAAACCTTTGTCTATGAATCCTCCAGACTATCATAGCCATTTAATCGAACCAGGCACTTCCTAAGTTAGTTTGGGGGTGTTTTTGTAATTCTATATTTGTTTGTGGTTTAGGAAATAACTAGACTATAAATATAATAGGTTAGGGTTGGTTTTGTTAAGAAAAGTAGTACGTACATCGGTGGTCTTTTGGTTTGTAGTGCGGTGCGGCTGTCACTATTTTTTTTGCTTCTTTGGTTGATTAATGGAAGTTTGGCAGTACGTATTACTTTGATCAAATTTGGGTTTCTTTACATATTAAATTGGTTTTCTTATTAGTGCTTTGATAAAGCATTGTTGTGGCTGTTTTATTTATTCATGATCTAGTTTTGGTTTCAACATCTGGTATCAGAGCTGGGTTGAGATCCAACGATCATGGCTAAGCGAAATATTACATGTGTGGTTCCGAAATTATTGGGAAGACAAAATTATAATTTTTAGAAAATTCAGATGAAAACACATCTTAATGCGTATGGGTTGTTGAGACATGTTAAATAGGAGATGGCTAAAAACGCTGATGAAAACATAAAGAGGAGAGATAGTTTATCACTGTCTCAAATTCATCAAGCTATTGATATGTCTGTGTTTTGAAGAATTTCTACATCAAAAACAACAAAAGAGGCATGGGATATTTTGGAAAAGTCGTACTGTGGTGTGGAGAAAGTTCAAAAGAGTAATTTGCTCATGCTGAAAAGGAAGTTTAAACTTTGTAAGATGGAAAAGACAGAAAGTATTGATTCATATTTCTCTCGTTTGATTTAGATAAAGAATGAGATGGAGCATAATTGGCATACTCTTGAAGATGAAACCTTTATTGAAAAATTTCTCATTACGTTGCCTTTAAAGTTTGACTATGTTGTAGCTGTGATCCAAGAGACAAAAGACATATCAGAGATGACAATTGAAGAACTACATGGTTCATTAATTCTTCATGAAAATAGAATTAATGAAAAGTTTGATGAACCAGTTGAAAAGGTATTGCAAGTTCAATCTCAGAGTCAATTGCAGCCTCAAATCCCTATGCAAACTTATCAGACTCAGTATGATCAAAATTATGAACAAGCTCAAGCAAATCAAGCTCAAGGTCGTGGACAGAATTTCAGAGGTTGTGGGCGTGGAGGTCGAGGTAATTACCAACGCCGTGGTAGAGGTAATGGTTTTGGTTATGATAGACTGAACATCCAGTGCTATAATTGTGAGAGAACGGGCCATATTAGAAGAGATTGTTTGTATAATAGTGGTGATAACAATGATGGGTGTGCTCAAATAGTTGAGAGTGGTAATGAGGATCATGAGACAATCTTATTTTCTGCTCATATTGCTGAAGAAAACAAAAGTTCAGATTGGCATGTCGATTTTGGCTGTAGTAATCATATGACAGGAAAGAAGGAGATTTTCTCTGAGTTAGATGAATCTTTTAAAGCCACGGTGAGATTCGACAATGGTCAGATTTTACCTGTGACAAGCAAAGGTCGTATTCCCATTACTTTGAACAATAGAGAGATTCATTATATTGGTGATGTTCTCTATTTCCCGGATATGCCACATAATTTGTTGAGTCTTGGTCAGTTGCAAGAGAAAAACTATCATCTGATTTTCAAACATGGCATTTGTACTATTAGTGACTTACATGGACGGCTGATTGCAGAGGTAAAGATGGTTCGCAAACTATTTCCAATCACTCTAAATTATGCTCATGCACCTTGTCCGAATGCTACAACTTTGGATGATACTTGGCTATGGTATATGAGGTTTGGACATTTTCACTTTGGTGGTTTACAATTCATTGCTAGAAATAATGTGGTTTCTGGATTGCCACCGTTAAATTTTTCTGTTAGACAATGTGAGCCTTGCATTATCGAAAAGAAGAACAGGGGTTCTTTTCCAAAAGGAAAAGTTTGGAGAGCGTGGAAGCCATTGGAACTCATACATTCGGATTTATGTTCAGTTGAAGTTCCTTCTCGTGGAGGTAATAAATATTTTATAACTTTCATTGATGATTTCAGCAGAAAATCATGGATTTATTTTTTGAAGCAAAAGTCTGATGCTTGTGATGTGTTCAAAAGTTTTAGGAGTTATGTTGAGAAACAGAGTGGCCACTTCATTAAGACGTTGAGGACAGATAGAGACGCTGAGTATACAGTCTGTTGGGGGTGTTTTTGTAATTCCATATTTGTTTGTGGTTTAGGAAATAACTAGCCTATAAATTTAATAGGTTAGGGTTGGTTTTGTTAAGAAAAGTAGTACGTACATCGGTGGTGTTTTGGTTTGTAGTGCGGTGCGGCCGTCACTATTAGTTTTTGCTTCTTTGGTTGATTAATGGATGTTTGGCAGTACGTATTACTTTGATGAAATTCGGCTTTCTTTACTTATTAAATTGGTTTTGTCATTAGTGCTTTGATCAAGCACTGTCGTGGCTGTTTTATTTATTCATGATCTAGTTTTGGTTTCTACACATTGTAACATTACCATTGTTTGAACAAGGGATACTACGATCAAACTCCAACTCCAAATTTTTAAAATGTGGAAAAAACGCTGAGAATAAAATGAATCGCCTCTTTTGGCAGGCTCAAGTTTTCCCTCTTCTTTAACTCTCTTCATATTAGTAGGGATGTGTAAAAAGCACAAAATATAATGAGAGAAAGGCCGCTATGGATTTTGACAACTTGCCTGATCCTGTAAATCTAAAGTTCGAAGTTGAACAAAAAACTTATAAGCAAAATGCACCAACCCATAAAAATGAGATAGTAAAATACGAGATACCTAGATGCACAAGATAACACTTAAGACAGAGATATTTATACCTTTAGCCTCATATGGGTACCTCCAATCCCGCCTCTTTTAAGGAAATATCAAGAAAATTTGGATTTGAAAACCTTATTATTTTTGGTGACGTTCAGACAGATCTAGCTAAACATTGACTTTAAAAAAATAGTGCGTATTGAATTTTGAAATTTATAAATTTACAAATTTTAAAACTTAATGTAAACTATTTTTTGATACAGAGGAAGTAAGACATTCGAGATTTTGAAATGGATTGCATTGACATTGGCCATAAAATTAAAGATTCAAGATGATGTTGATCAATGGCGAGCAAAAGAATTGTTGAGCAAAGATCAAGATAGATCATGATTGATTGTTTCGAAATTGTTTTTAAAAATGTCACTCGTGTAGCATACTATAGCGAGGTTAAATTTAATTTCACATTTACAATAAGCACTAAATATCATATAATTATATCAAACGCAGATCAAACATTAATTCTTTGACTGAATGAAGGTTCACTATTTAATCTCCAAAATTTTTTTCAGATAAAAAAAAGGGCACGAAATAAATTTTGATTAGACTAAAAATATACAAATCACCTAATTTATCTCACTAATAGATCTTACATTTTATGGAATTTAATTATTAAATCAAATTTACTAAGTTAATTTCAATTTTATTATTTTAAAAAAAATTACCCTAACGGAAAGAACTGTCTTACAAAGTTTTCTAAAAATCTCATGACGGATCTTGTACAATTACTTCTAGGAACTATCTTACAAAGATAGTCTAATATCTCGTGACAGTTCATCTTCTATACTAGATACCCTAGGAGTATGTCGTACAAACATTAAACAGTAATCCCCCGACAACTCCATCTATATTATTTGTCATTTTGAAAAAACTTAAATAAAATATAACTATCTAATCCGCACATATGGAAAAGAACACTTATCTAAAAACCATTTCCCAAACAATGATGTTGGGAGATTTGTTGTGGTAGCATATTGCATTGAAGATCCTTTTCATGCATTTTTCGCTAGTTCATCTGCCATACTGTTAACTTCTCTATACGCGAAGAGGGAGTTAAGAAAAACTTTTCCAAAAATACCCTTTTGCTCTCTAGCCAAACCCTACTAGGTTCGTCTTCACCTTGTCCCAGGCCACCATGGCCGACGCTAACATACCGGTGGCGCCACCTCCACCGAGGACTTTTGCTAGTTTTTTCCAAAAACCGGCTGATGTAGAGATGAACCGAGACTCACTGATCAAGCAAGTGAGATTTGTCAATGGCACCCCAACTCTAGAGTACGATGATGAGGAATTTGAAAGATTGATTGCACCACATTAATCTCTTATGGCCGACCGAAGATGGAGGAGGTTCATAACGAATTTAAGAAAATCGGCTTCAATGCGGGATACACCTTGGGACTTATGAACCCTAGGCACGTATTGATCGGTTTTGATCAAGAAGATGATTACCAGAGATGTTGGATAAGGACATTCTGGAACATTGGAAGCTTCTCAATGAGGATTTTGAAGTGGAAACCTGGTTTTTGCTTTGAGGAAGATCCACCGGTTGTTCCAATATGGGTCTCCCTCTTTGAGTTACCCATTGAATATATGCACCCGGAAGTGATTTTTTCAATGGCAACCGCTCTCGAAAAACCCTTGAAGGTGGACACGCCAACTTTGAATATGACAAGGCCATCAGTCGCTTGTTTTTGTATTGAGATTGATCTCACCAAGAAGCTTCCGAAATCAGTGAAAATTTGAAAAAAAAAAGGGCGTAAACATGAGCAAGTATTTACTTTTGAGCATGTCCCTTCCTATTGTTTGAAGTGCAGCAAAATAGGTCATAAGGATGATGAATGTAGGCAAGGAAAGCCCCACCGCCAAAGAAAGATGAAGGGAAGAAGCTTGAGGTAGAGAAAAAAGATGATCAGGTCCAGAAGATAAAAAGTCTCAAGATCGCAAAACCTAAGCCAAAACTGTTATTGAAGGGTAGAGAGGAGAAACCCAAGTCTCCGGAACTTGAAGTGGAAATTCTAAAGGAGAATCCATTGGTTATAAGATGCATTGAGAAGCAGAATCTGGCCCTTGAACCATCCAATGGTGAGTCGGAGAACTTTCCGGAGGAAACCCTAGCAGTGCACGACTCGCACCCCCCTGAGGAGGAAACCCTAGCATCGCGCAATGTTGATTCCCGCTTTCCTGCAATCGATTTGCAGGTGCCGATGATTGACGGGAAATTGCTTGAATCAACTTCTGGTTTGACCAGCAATTAGAAGGCATTAATCCCGGTGGATGTTCAGGATAATTCTGAACCTCGTGGTGATTAGCCGATAATAGCTATTTCTCCTCGACTGAAGACTGTTGAGCTGGGAAAAGCTGCTGTTATAGGAGCAATCTCTAATCGATTTTCAGCCCTTCAGGATATGAATGAAGATGATCTGAATTTTGTGGATGATACTGATGAGGTGGAAAACATTTTTACGGAGAGGATTGACACTGAACTGCCGCAACTAGCAACTGTTGATGCTTTGCGGAATATCACTTCTTCGCCGCAGCCGATATTGGGTAAGTCTATGGATGATTCTTTTTATGCTATTGTTCAGGAAGATGATGAAGAGAAAGTCTATAAAGAATTTGCTTGTCAGAGGGTGAAAAGGATGGCTCAAATTTTTATGTTGAGCGGGCGGATAATGGTGAAATCACAGTTAAGAGAAAACGGGGGAGGAAGTCTAAAGAGGAGAGAGCCAAATTAACTGCAGGGGTAGAGCCTCGTTGCTCAGCCGCTTTCAGTAAGAATCCTGTGTTACCTTTTAATAATGTTTTCTAATGATTAGCTACATCATATGGAATATTCGTGGTGTTAAGAATAAAGCGTCCATGCGGCGTTTGAAATCTTTGATTAAAATGTACAAAGTGTCTTTCCTGGTTCTTTTGGAGCCAATGGTACAGAGTAATAAAATGGAGGAAATCAAGTCGTCGCTTCAATTTGATTCTGTCTTCTCTTCTCAACTAGTAAGATTTGGGTTTTCAGTAAAAAGGAGGTAAATGTCACTTTGCTTGGAGGTTCAGACCAAGCTTTGCATCTTGGTGTTGAGCATCAATCCGTTGGCACAAGGGTTTGTATCTTGGCGGTTTATGCAAAATCTACAAGGGGTAGACAAGCTTTGTGGGCTGACTTGCTCACCTTTCGACAGCAAAACCTAAATACTCCTTGGATGGTAGGAGGAGATTATAATGTTATACGATTTTTTGAAGAGTACTCGGGCATCTCTGTTCAGGATCATGCAACAATGGTGGACTTCAATGACTTAATTGAGGAATCTTCTCTAACCGAGCTATTAACTCTAGGTGAAGAGTTTACCTGGGGAGGCACAAGAAGTAGTGGCTGGGTGAGCAAGAAGTTGGACCGCATCTTATTTTCAATGGAATGGCTTTCTTTGTTCCCTAAAGTTTCATTAGAAAACTTGAATAGAACTACATCGGATCATAGGCCCTTGTTGCTTCAATTTGATAAAATTTTGGAAAGCCACCCGAGAAGTTTTCGCTTTCAAAATATGTGGCTACAAAGAGATGATTTTTTGCCCTTGGTGAAAGAGAATTGGGAAATGGCCATTGAGGGTTTTGGGATATATCGGTTTTCTTTGAAGCTAAGGAGATTGAAGGTGAAGCTCAAGGAATGGAATAAATCAGTCTTTGGAAATGTTTTTGACAATTTAAAGGCGGCTGAATAAAAGGTGCAAGAATTGGAAATGGTCCATGATTTGACTAAATCTGAGGAAGATAGAACCCAACTAAGCCTCACGCGAGCACACTTGTTGCTTAAGCTTAAGGAGAATGAGGATTTCATGCGGCAAAAAATGAAGCTCAAGTGGTTGAAAGAAGGGGATTGTAATTCTTCTTATTTTCATGCCTCTCTTCTGGAAAAGAAAGCAAAAATGGGCATTTAGAAGATTCAATCCGGTGAAGGGTTTGGTTGACGGAAAGGCAAGCTATAGAAGGCCAAGCAGTAACATTTTTTGAGAAGCTTTTAACGAAGAAAATCAAATGCCTAGGGTGGATGTTCAAGAGAATTTTTTTCAGCATGTCCCATCTCTTTTAACTCCTAATGATTATGAGATGCTTTTGAAGGAAATAACAATGGAGGAGGTGAAAAAGGCGGTTGATAATCTTGATCCCAATAGTGGTCTGGGCCCGGATGGTTATGGTGGATCTTTTTATAGAGCATGTTGGGATATCATAGCTTTGGATCTTCTCAATGCTTGTAAAGAGTTTATGCTAGGGATTCCAATCCCAAGAGCAATTGGAAGTACTCTTGTCACTCTTATACCTAAGAAGAACTCTAAAGCAACTTTCTCAGATGTGCGCTCGGATTAGCCTTTGTAACTTTGTTAATAAGGTTTTTACAAAAATCCTTTACAGAGAGATTGAAGAAGGTTCTACCTCAGCTTATTTCGGAGGAACAATCAGCTTTTCTGGCTGGGAGAGACATCAATGATAATATCATACTCAGGATTTATGTCAATTCCTAAATCATAAAGCAGTGGGGAACAATCTGATTTTGAAGGTTGACATGATGAAGGCCTTTGATCGTGTTTCATGGAGCTTTCTAAGTGCAATCTTGCAAAGGTTTGGCTATCCAATGCATTTCATTTCATTGATTTTAAATAACCTTTAGAATAGTTGGTTTTCGATTTTGGTGAATGGTAGTCCCACAAGATTATTCAAAGCAAGTAGAGGTATCAAACAAGGGGATCCCTTATCCCCCTTTTTGTTTATCCTTGTCTCTGAAGCAATGACGCGCAGGCTCAACTATTTGATGGAGAAAGGAAGGGTAGCTCGGTTTGGTACTCCTGCAGGTTCAACCTATGTCTCTCATTTATGCTTTGCGGACGACTTAATTATTTTCACCCCGGGATTGCAGTCTTCCATAAGAGAATTGAATGCATTCTTTGAGGAGTATGAAATTGCTTCTGGCCATAAAATTAATAGAGAAAAGAGTAATTTTTATGTGGATGGAAAATGTCTCTCTTCTCGGGTGGAAATCATCAAGAGATGTTTGGATATACAAAAGGGATCTTTTCCATTTGTTTATCTTGGTTGCCGGTTATATCAAGGGAGGAAGAAGACAGCAACCTTTCAATACATTCTTGATGCACTTTGACTCAAAATTATCAAATTGGAAGAACAAGTTTCTTAGCCAAGGTGGGCGCCTTGTGCTAATCAAGAATGTGTTATCGGCCATTCCAATTCACGTTTTTGGGGCCATTGAGCCACCAAAGTCAATTCTTAATGCTATAGCACAAAAAAGTCAAAAATTCCTCTGGGAAGGTGTTGAGGGAGACGGGAAAAGACATTGGCAAGCATGGAATAGGCTTACCTTCCTGGTTTCGGAAAATGGCGTAGGGCTGAGAAATTTTAAAGATGTATTGAAGGCTTTCTCTTTTAAAAGATGGTGGAAGGTGAAGCATCGGCAAGGCATCTGGGCTAAATTCATTTTATCTTTGTCGCATGCTGTGCGAAATAAAACTTCCTGGAGAAGACTAGAGCGAGTTGATTCTTTGGCAACAAGTTACTCAAAAGTATCGGTGAAAAATGATGATAGAAGTTTTTGTTATGATCAGTGGTCATCACTTGGTCGTCTTTGGGATATTGAAGGAGTTCTACCTCCCTCACCATCAATAACAATTCGGGACTTCTTCTTTCGGAAGCAATACTATCTATGCAAGTTTCGCTGGAGGCTCTCTTCTAATGTTCTTAGGGAGTTAGAAGCGGTGGAGATGAGTTTCGTTGGAGAGGAAGACAGATTCATTTGGAAGCCAACTTCGTTGGGAAACTTCACAATTAAATCGGCTTATGAGGTAATAAGGGGAAGGCAAAATACAAATAATCGGCTGCGGAATATTTGGCACAAGTGCATCCTCTCAAGAATATCTTTCCTTATGTGGAAGTTTGGTGATTCTCTACTTCCCTTTCCTTATGTGCAACCTTCTATTTGTTTTAAATGTAAGGTAGCCACTGATTCTATGATCCATCACTTCTTGACATGCACCTTCGCGCGCGAATTGTGGAGTTTTTTTTCTAATCTGTTTGGGCTTCCTTTTGTGCATGGAAGGGTTTGATTCTGTTTTACAGACATTGTGGTTATCAGGGAGCTCTAAAACAGCACTTGGAGTAATCAAGAAAGTATTGTCGTCCTTTGTCATATGGGAATTATGGAAAGCGCGAAACAAGTTCCTCTTTGAAGGAATTGAGGTGTCCGTGCAAAGCATCATCGCGTTGGTTAAAGAGCATTTACATAACACGATGCTTGTTAATGCTCTCACAGCTCAAAACACTCATGAAAAAACCTTGTTACAGCAGCACATCCCTTGGGTAAATTTCGATATTAAGAGCAAAAGGGTATTGGCGGTTTCTTGGAAGCAGGAAAAGGATTTTGTCCTTAATACCGATGGATAGTCGAAAGCTTGTTCTTCAGAGTATGGGTTTGTGATTCGTGGAGATAAGTGTTCTTTTATTATGGGGAATTCAGCTTTCTTGGTGGAGGAAGGAGTTTTCAAGCTAAAGTATATGGACTTTTATTTGGAGTCTGCAAATGTGCGCACCTAGCTTTGTTGCACTTGGAAGTTTAGATTGATAATCAAATCTTGGGAAATCTTTTGTCAAATGGGGGACCATATCCATGGAATTTTTATGATGAGTTAGAAGAAATTTATGGTTTGATGGAGATTTGGGGATACAGCATTCATCATAAATACAGAGAGGCAAATGCAGTCGCGGATAGTTTAGCTAAGCTTTGCTTCGGAGGAATGTTCAGAGCAATATGAGGACCTTGGGTTTCTTCCTAGTTTCACCAAGGGCCTTATTCTTTTAGATCAAAAGTCTATACCATATGTTAGATTTCGGTAATAGACTTTCTTGTAATAGAAAGTTAGTGCTCTTTGTATTCCTTGTGTATTCTGGTAAGTCTGAAGCAATGCCATTATATGTTATATCTTAATAACATTTAGGAGGGAGGATTCTAGGGAACTAGATGATGCACATGTCCATCCCTTGGGTGCATTGTATCATCTAGCACTGCCTAATTCGGAAAATTCATCTCTTGTGTATACCCCTTGAGTGTTTTTTGAGTTAGTTAGAACCTGAATGTCCTTTTATCCTCTTTTATGCTAAAAACAAAAATTCTCTATACGCATGGATGATCCTCGAGTTCGTCTGATGCAACAATTGTTGAATACCTTTGAGCTGCACTTGATGCTTCCATGGAAATTTGTTGTTCTGTTGAATGGTGGTAACAATGGATTCATTATCTGTTTGTACTACAACCCGAGTTATTCCTTTCTCCTGACAATGTTGTAGCCCATTAACTTCCGTAAGTATCAAATCAAATGAAAAAGTCATACCATCATAGATCATTTTGTTCCGACTTTTCCATATTTCCCATAATACAAACACCAGAAGAACCATAATAATGGTCTTTTTACCTGAGGAGTAGTTTCCAATCCTTTGCCAACCGCGCAGTTGATCCCTCTAACCTACATTATGAATTCAAATAATCCCTAAATTAGCTGAGCAAAATAGCCAAATCATTTTCACTTTGTTACAATGAAAGGAAACATGATCAATGTCATCCTCCTCTGCGAAACAAAACGGGCATCTAGATGGCTTAGGAACAAAACCATTTTTTTGTAAAACCTTAGGAATAGGAAGCAATCCATTGTATAGTTTCCATGCAAAGAAAGATACTTTCAAGGGAATGCATTTATGCCAAAAATTTGAAACCAATGTGTTTTTTTCTTTTTCATCTTGAATTATAGAATAAGCTAAAGAGTTAGAGAAACTGCCTGAAGGATTAGGCATCCACACTAGTTGATCTTCCTTAGCACTGAATTGTATTTCCATGTGGTAGAGTTGATCTTTTTATATCTTGACCTAATGTATCTCCAAATTCCAGCAAGAAAAACAATTTAGATGCAAAGAAATCTTTAACAGTTAAATTAACCATTGGCGGGGGTGTGTTTGTGTTCCAGTGAGGTTGCGTCCCCAGCCAAGTCGTGAACCAAAAAAATGATGATCCATTTTTCCAGCAAAGTCTTGACATGAGGTCTAGCTAGATGATCTACATCCTCCACTCTTTTCCAACTCGTTTTCCCTTTTGCAGAGTCAGATAGTGATGATACAAAAGCCTGTCCAAATTCCTTGTTGAGTCTGAATTTTTCACCATAATTTCATAGAGAAGGCTATGATGAACTTTTCCATTTTTCTGATTCCTAAACCATTCTCATTCGCTGGGAAAGCTAGCTTCTTCCACGCGCGCTAGTGTCTCCCAAAACCATATTCATTCTCTCCCCAAAGGAAATTTTGACATTTCCTTTCCATTTCTACAATGATGGATCTCGGTGTCACCTATGCAGCAATTGTGTGTACCGGCAATGCAAGAAGTACGTGCCTGAGTAGTATCAACCTCCCTCCCGTTGATAAGAATCTATTTTTCCAATTTCTTAACTTTGCATCCATGGCATCAAGTAGATGTTGAAAAAACTCCACCTTCTTCCTTCCCTTGAATAGAGTACAACCACGATATTTATATGGCAATTTCCCTTGTGGTATTTGTAGCGTGGTTGAGATTATATCTAGCTGCCTCATGCTACTTGATTCCGAAGTAATGAACATGCTTTTTTGCTTGTTCATTTTTTGGCATGTTGCTTCTTCATAATCCTTGAAAAAGTCATTCAACCTCTCCTAAAAATGCTTCAAACCCTTAGTAAAAATCACTAGGTCATCCGCAAAGCATAAATGTGAAACAATGGTTGATCCTGCAGGTGTTCCATAGTGCAATCTTTCTAGCTGCCATTAGGGTTTTGAGATTTCTTGATAACGCCTCTGACACTAGAATGAATAAATAAGGAAATAGGGGATCTCCTTATTTAATTCCTATTGTAGGCTTTAAATACCCACCGGATTTCCATTAAGGATAATAGAAAACTAGCTACTTTCAAGATTAGACATAACTAGTGAAATGAATCTCTCATGGAATCCAAACTTGCATAGAATCCTTTGTAAAAAGCTCCAGGATACCCTATCAAACGCTATCATCATGTTGACTTTTATGTGTAAATTCCCCCCTCGTGAAGAATGATCCAGAAATCGTAGCATATCCTAAGTAGTTAAAATGTTGTCCACAATATCACGCCCTTCAACAAATGTTGATTGTTCCTCTGAAATCAGCCCCGAAAAAAATGGCTTCAATCTTTGAGTAAGCAATTTCGCAAACACTTGGCTGATGAAGTTGCACATCCTAATCTGTCTGAAATCCGCAAAGGAGGTGGCCATCGCCTTTTTTGGTATCGATGTCATTATTGTACTCCCAATTACGCATGGCGTCAGAGTTCCCGCAAAGAAATCCTCGTAAGCTGCTTGAAGATCCTGACTAATGATAGGCCAATAGTGTTGATAAAAACTCTCCCCCAAATCCATCCACCCCGGGAGAACTCGAAGGATCCAGGCTGAAAACGGCAATCCTTATTTCTTCGATGGTAACCAGTTTTATCAAATCATCATTTAACTCGCGCATCACCAGCATTGGGATATTTTGGAGTATCTCATGAGATGCTTCTTCATGATTCATGGATTCTTCTTTTGTGAGAAGCTTTTGGAAGAAGGAAATTGTTTCCTGCTCAATTTCATTCATTTCTGTAGCCCAAGTTCCATCCAATCTCCTTATCTTATGGATTCCCCGGCGCACTTGATTTTCTTTTAAGGATGCATGAAAATAAGATGTGTTCAAGTCGCCTTCCTTCAACCATTTTAATAGAGTTTTTTTGATGTAGGACATCTTCTTGTTCCTTCAGCTTATTGAGGAGATGAGTTTGCAAGTGATGCAAAGCAATGCGATCATTTTCACTATTTGAGTGATCATCCTGCAATTCCTTACTTCGCACCTCAGCTTCAACATCCTTTAAATTTTGAAAAACGTCCCCAAAATCAACTTTATTCCATTTTTTAATCTTGCTTTTAAACAGCATAACTTCAGAGAGAAAGCCAACATGCCTTGCTATTCAATCGGTTGCTCCCAATTCTCTTTAACTACAAAACATTCCTGGCTTTGTGCTTTCCACCACCTTATATCACAACAATATTGGAGAATGATCAGACGTGGTTTGACTAAGGTGATGAACTGAAGCAATCGGGAAGAGCGTCAACCATTCCTGAGAAAAAAAGTATTCTGTCCAATCTTTTTAGAACACGACCATTCTGTCTCTCCCCCTGCTATGTGTGTAGATTCCCAACTAGTGGCAATTCCAGAAGATTACAGATGCTGATCATATAATTAAACTCATCTATTGCACCCATATCCTGTTGCAAGAACCCGTCATATTCCTCAAGGTTGCGGATGACATTGTAGTCCCCTCCAACAATCCAAGGTTCCCCATCATTATTCCGTTCAAAAGACATTAATTCTGACCATAGATTTCTTCTTTCTGGTTTGGTGGATTTTGCGTAAACTGCCGACATAAAGAATGAATGTGAAGACACAAGATGTTTCATTTTCAGATGCAAAACTTAGTCCGTTCCTCCCTTATCTGTTACTACCCAATCCTTAGATGCAAGTACCATATTTTCCATGTTATTGACAAGGTAGCCAAAGAAAAACGCAACTTATTTTTCAACTCTTCGAGTTGAGAAACCGGTTGCATTGGCTCCTACAAAATAATTATAGAAACCGCATGCGATCTAACCAGATTTTTCAATCGTCTAATTGATGCCTTATTACCTATACCACGTGCATTCCAATTTAAGATGTTTTGAGAAATCTTGATTGGAGAGTCACCTTGCAACTTCACCGATCGGCGAGTTTCTGTTTCCTGAACTTGACCATTTGTTTTCGATCCTCTTGGTCTTCCTCTTCTTTTCTTTGGTTCTTCCCTGTCTAACACTACCAATCTCGTATCATTCAATCCTGAGTCATTATTCCCAATTGCACCATTGTCACAGATCATAGTTTGCTGACTCAGAGAATGAAGTTTATCTCCAAAATCCTCATATATTAATTGAGTATCTGATTCACTCTCTATTAAGTTAATTTTATAATTTTTTTAGATCTATAGACAAATATGCGTGACGGTTAAAATGGTAATATGTCATGTAGTTTTTTCACTGAAACTTACATGGGCACATAGTGTCCTTACACACGTTTAAAGCACACAATATATCTTTTTAGGTACCAAGCATTCAATTTTTTTTGTCATCATAGAGATATTTGACGAAACATTCAATTGCTGGAAAATTACTCAAAAGGGTAGCATGCTTTATGGCTCTTGCCATTCACATACATAAACTTGTGCAATTCATGGGTGCATATATTCTTTACATTATTTAATGTTAACAACCTTTTTTTGAGTATAGAGTGTTAAATTAAAAGGTTACAACAGAAAAAAGCATTGCCAATGAAATACTTT